TCCTCAATCAAAAGCCTATTTCAAAGTAAGGGGAGTTAATCCCAAACCCTAACTCTTATTTTGTATTTTGACTTAAAAACTTCAATAATTTTGCTTTGAATAGTAAATCCCTCATATTTATTAAGATTTCAATGTAAAAATAGGATTTTTTAGCACGAAAACCCGATGATCTATTTCTGAAATCACTTAGATAAGATTTTTATAGCAAAAGTTATGAATAACACAAGTTTTTAAGAAAATTTACAATTTTGATATTGATATGTATGTATTATTAATGTTGGATTATGACTTTGAACAATATGTGATAGAAGGTGCTAAACCTCAAGATAGATGATTTTATAAAAAGACTAAGAGAGTGTGATTTCCAACAATTTATATGTGGTTTAGTTCAATGTATGTTAAATTGTGTGACTAGTTTGAGCCAGAAGGTGCCTGACCTTCAACACATTTCATTGATTTGTATGATGTGAAATAGGTGGATGAGTTATCTTTATTAGAATAATATATTACAATGAAACGTGGATCTTTGTTTGGAAATCAATGTATGTTGAAAGTTTATGAAAAATGTTTAATTGCCCTTGAATGAAAATGTTTTTTTAATGAAAAATTGTGAATAGAGGACTAATGTGAATGAGTATGTATGAAAAAAAAATAAAAGTTATTTATGTTATCAAAGTGGAAAAAGAAATGTTGATAAATTGTGTATAATGTGAAAATGCTAAGAAAGTGAATGTCATGAGAAATGTTGATAAATTGTGTATAATGTGAAAATTGTAACTATCTATTTAGTGTCTCAACATTTCTCATGACACCTATTTTTTCAGCATTTCACACTACAGTTTTTTTCTCAATATTTTTTATTTCATTTTTCATATCCTTTTCATCGATCAGCATGTTATAATACGTGAGTTATAATTTATATAAGTCCATGTATTACAATACATGATTATAAGTACACCCTTAGGCTATGTCTAAGAATTGAGTTTATGAGGGGAGGAGAGGGGAAGAGAAGGGTTAGGAGGGTTAACACTTGTTTGTGGTGAGTTGCTTAATTAGGAGTGAGAGGTTTCGGGGGTTTATCTAAACTCTCCAAAGCCCTTCTAATGCTAGTTTTTTGAGTTTCCTCAATATGGCAGTTTTTTAGGAGTTATCTTTCTCTCACTTTTTCATACTCTTTCATGATTAGGATTATAATTTTTTTTTAAATATTAATTTTTCAAGTGAGATGTTTATAAAATTTATAAAAAATAAAAATATTAATTTTAAAATATTAATTTATTTAAAAAATTATTAATTTTAAAATTATTAATTTTTTTGAGAAAGATAAATATTTATTTTTATTTTTTGTAAAAATAAAAAATATAAATAAAAGATATAAAATATAATAATATCATTTATATAATTAAATCTTTCATCACCCATCCCTCTCAATATTCAACATTCAAACAAGGGAAGGGTTTAACCCCCTTCCCCCTCTCTTTCCCTTCAAACCCTTCCCTTCCCTCCCCCTCTAAATTTCCAAACAAAGTCTTAGATACATTACAATACCTATATCGTAATCATACCTATTAGTTGTTTGTGACTCACGTATTATAAAAACACATCTCATAATTTTATAATCATGTCATATCATCTCCTTTATACATGATCCTTTCTCTTTATCCAAAAACATTCAAACCTTTTTCATCAATACAATAAATCTATCAACTTCAACGTACTTTAACTATCGTACCACATCTATATATTTACTATATCATCTAGTACAAAGATCATTACAATTTTATACACACAGATCAATACAATATGTTGAAAGTCAGACACCTCTAAATTCAAATTAGTCGTACAATTCAATATACACACTTCTCATTATTGATAAAGTTGTCTATCCTAGTGTTTAGCATCATTCAATATGCACAATATGTCTATTATTCTAAAAATATCAAACAACAATCTTCACTATCTCTAAATATTGTTTACTAGTAAAATTGTAATATTTCTCAAAAACGGTTCTTTTCAAAGCTTTTGCTACAAATTGCATTTAGCTAGTTTTGAAAATAATCATGGGTTTTCATGTCAAAATTGCTATTTTCTACACTTGAGAATTTTAGGAAAAGCATTAGTATTTTCAAACCCAAAATAGTAAAAAAGAGTTAGAGTTTGAGATAAACTCTCCCTACCTAGAAATGAGTCTCTTAAACCAAGTTCTCTTAGAGATTCAAGAGAGAAGTACAACATCCTTGATGAAGGATATCATCTTATAGATCAAGATTTCCTTAAGTATTTCAAAACATAACACTTTAGATAAGAGAAAATTGAGAAATAGGAAAGAAGTTGGAACCAAGCTCTAAGAAATCTTACTTGGATCTAGATGGAATAAACGTACGAGCTTGGATCTGAAAAAGATTTAGAGTTTGAGAGAGTTTTCTTAGAGAGGAGAAGGGGAGAGAACAAAATGAGATGAGGAGAGAAGGTTGTTTGATGAGAAAAATGGAAGTTCCAGCACTGAGGTCCCCTAAATACCCTTCTAAACCTATGCATTCTCGCTTGAGCGAGCCCTACTCTCATATGGACGAGACCTTTCTCGCTTGGACGAACAAACCAAACAATGGAATTACTTAGTTTTCTATTATTCTTGTTTAAGCAAGAACATTCTCACCTAAGTGAGAGGTTATCTCGCTTAAGCAAGCTCCATCTTGCTTGAGTGAAAATAGGCCCAAAGAACTCTTTGTTTTTCCTACAACTCCTTGCTTGGGCGAGAGGACACTTGGGCCAACCTTCTCCTTTCTCACTTGAGTGAGACTCATCTTACCTGAGCGAGAATGTTCCAGAATGCTTTTTTTTTAGAAAACTCTATCTCGCTTAAGCGAGACCCATCCACTTAAGTGAGAAAATCCTGCACCAAGACTCCTATTTTTCTCACACAAGAGCAACAAATTTGAGGGTGTTACATTTAGTCAAGTTTGGTCAGGATCTTTTTTCTCTCTAGTTACTTTTCATCAAGCCCTAAGGCTTTGTTTGAGAGTTTGGAGGGGGAGGAAAGGGAAGGGTTTGAAGGGAGAAGGAAGGGAAGAGAAGGGAAGGAGAAGAAGGTTAAACCCCTCCCTTGTTTGAATGTTTAATATTGAGAAGGGAGAGTGACTATGAGGTTTACTTATATAAATAATTTTAAAATTAATATTTTTATTTTTATTTTTTTTTTAAAAAAATTATTACTTGAAAAACTAACATCTAAAAAAAAAGTTAAAAAAATCCTAGTTGTAAAATAATATGAAAAAGTGGGAGAGAAAAAACCCCCAAAATGAAAAAACTCAAGAAACAAGTTTTTGGAGGGTTTTGGAAGGTTTAGAAAAATCCTTAACCTCTCCTTTTTTTGTACTTGGACTTTTGTGATATTTAGATCCCTAAGTCTAATATATAGTAAAATAAATAGTTAAATGAGTATAAATGACTTATTCTAATAAAAAAGATATTATTGAATACAGTTAAAAGGATTTATTCTAATATTTTCACAAGTGTCAATGAAATAAATATTAACTCTAATAATTCAAAGACTTAAATAATTGTTAATTTAACAAATACTTATTCTTTTAAAAGTTAAAAGTATGTATTTTTATTTTTTTATTGAAAATTTGTTTGTTAGACAAATTAATATTATTAACATTTTTAAAAAAATAGTGTCTTCAAGCTTTCTTAAAAAAACATAATTTTTTTAATATATTTCAATATAAACTGTATAGAGTAAAATAAATATTAAAGTAAAATAATATTATTTATTTTATTAATTTAATAAATCAAACTTATTCTTAAAGCTTCAAAAATTATATTTCTATAATTTTATAAAAACATAATCATACTCTTTACTTGTTAAGAAAAAAAAAAATTAGTTGAAGATTTACGAACTTCCATCCAGTTATGAATTGGAGGTGCAGCTTGTAAGGAGTGAATGTCTCAACTCTTACAAAGACGTGCTTTAAAAATCTTACGTGTCTGTTTTATAAGCGCTTATGATAAAACCAGTTATTGTTTAATTTATAATTATAATATTACGATAATTTTTTTCAGCTTAAATTTTAATTAACTTTTTTTTATCATTTTTTATTAAATATTATAATTACTGTCTTTTTAAGAGATATATTTTTATTATTACCCACACCTAATTGTTCTGATTATTAAATAATAATATATTTAGATTGTTTTCAACTAATTGCATTCATTTAGTAAAATAACTAATAATTTCTTAAATTTTACTTTTGTTACATTGAAAAGGAATAAAATGTATCATAAAATTATTGAATTAATTTGTAATCATCATTATCTATATTTTTATGAAAATACTAATCATAATTTATATTTTAATAAATTAATGAGAAATATTGTCTTAAATTATTACTTTATCAAGTTTTAGAAAAATAATTATTATTTTTATTATTGTAATAATTTAATATATAGTTTAAACTAATTATAACTATATTTTAGTTTATTTTAAAATCACTCACACAATATTAATTATATCTTATAAAATTATAAGTATATTTGAATTAATATTTTAAATTAGTTTTATTGAATATTATTTTATTAATATTTTTAAATTATTAATTAAACTATATTATATAGTTTTAATAAATATAATTTTAACTATAATGATATTAATAATTTGATTCCAAAAATTATATTGACCAGTTGTCATATTTTTTTATTACATTGTGTTGTCATGTTTTAGGATTATTTATTTATCAGTTAAAATATATAATCAATGTTTTTTTTTATAAATTAGTATATTAAAAAAAATTACATTTAATTTTTATACAAATGTTCAGTTACTTTTTAATATATTTATTATAATTTTTTTAAAAAATATAACTTAATAAACAATAATTTTCAATTATAATATTATAAATATTAAAAATAAAAAATATAAATTTTTTAAATATAAAAACTAATTTAACAAATGAGGATAAAGTTTCTGTAAAAAATTTATATTTTATTATTGGCGAAGAATTGCTATTTTGGACAGAAGGGTGAGGGCAAAAGACAGAACCCCCGAGAAGAGGGCTTGACAGAAAGATTTGGGCGGGTGCAGCAGTCAACGACCGAGATTCCGAGGTGCAGTCCAACCGTTGGAGACCGAAAGATAGTTTAAGCCTAAGCGAGAAGGATAGCGCCATTTGGATTTGCTTTTGGTTTTGGCTTTGGCTTGAAATACGTCAAAGACTTGTAAGGATACGTCATCGACTTTGAATACCTTATATTTTATCGCTTTCGTGTTTTTCCCTCCCTCCTCCTTCTCTCACGTATTAGTGAAAATCTAATAATTCTTGGGGTTTTCCTCGTTCGAAGATCAATCAACTGGGTTTGAGATGGTGAAGGAGACCGAGTACTATGATGTTCTGGGTGTCAGCCCCACGGCATCCGAAGCCGAGATTAAGAAAGCTTATTACATGAAGGTATTAATCTAACACATCGATCCATTTCTTTTCCGCGTTGTTTTCTCGTCGTATCCATGGATGTACTTGATAATTTGATTATTGGACCCATGTTTTGGTATCTATTTTGCTTTGCTAGCTATCTCAAACCACCGTAGATCCGTGTTGTTCCATTTACCTGTTTGTTTAGACAGAAATAGCACATGCGTTTGCCTTATGGTTGGATCTGTCCATTTTGTGGCTTTCAAAAAGAGATGTTTACTCGTTGCTAGCTTACATACGATGAAATTGACGTGCTTCTACAGATAATGGCAATCTAATCTTCTTTTGTACTTTATTTAAAGTTGTGATGGTTTTCATCCTGGACCAAGCTTCAAAATATGATCAAGTAGTTTCATCGTGTTATTTATTTCTCTTCTATCCTATATGTGCAGGCACGGCAAGTGCATCCAGATAAAAACCCAAATGACCCTCTTGCTGCCCAAAATTTTCAGGCAAGAATGTTATAATTTTAGTTTAGAACTGTTTTAAGGCACAGAATGGCATCTTACCTGGCACAGAATGGTATGTTACCTGGATTGTTTTGTTAATTGATGAAGAAACCTTTCCTTTTTGCAAGAAATTATTAAATGATATAAGTGGTTTGGTCTTGCACCAGTACTAACTAGTAAGTAAATACCCATCCAACTAATTAACATTGGCTTATTTTTCTTGCCAATATGACCATTTAGTTTAGAACGATAATTCTTGAGATCATTTTCATGTTAACATGGCATAACTTGCCTTCTTGAACAAGTGAACCTATACATTTTATCTTGAAATTCATCTATTGGCATATTTACCTTGTTGAATATTACAGAAATGTTAACATTTGAAACTTCTGTGTATTGCATTTAACTCAAAAGGCATAAATTTATACAAATATATAGAAATCTATATTAATTTCAAAATCTTACCTAATAAAGGTAACTCTGATATTACTTTCCTGATTACCTTATTTACATATCAATGGGTCTGATTAACATATTTACATATTAACACTCACCATCAAGCTGGAGCATGCATATCATATGCACCAAACTTGTAACAAATATATTCCACTTGAGGTCTCTTCAATAACTTAGTAAACACATAAGCCAACTGGTCATTGGAGCTAGCAAAGCTTGTTGTAAGTTGCCGAGTTCACCTGAGAGAACCTTTTCTCTAATAAAATGACTATCATTGTTTATGTGTATGCATAGGTAATATCATTATGTGTTGATACCATTTTGTTAATCTCACTATCTTTCATTGTATATTGCACATAGCTTAAGTTTTACCATTGTTAATTAACTTTTGTTGCCCTTAGTTATTTCCTATATGTTTTATACTATGGTTTTAGGCTTTAGGTGAGGCTTACCAAGTCCTAAGTGATCCAACTCAAAGGCAAGCTTACGATGCTCATGGAAAATCAGGAATCTCGACGTTTGTTTCCTTTCCCTTTTTTCACTTCATAGTACTGTACTTAAATCCTATTTGGAAGAGCTTATGAATAGTTTATAAAAACAGTTTATGATTATTAAGTTGATTTTAGTTTATTTCAATAATTTTCTTGGTATAGCTTATCAAAATAGGTTGTTTTCAACTTATTTCAATTAATGAGATCATTAAATTTATGAGATAAGTCATCATTTAAGAATAGCTTACTGAATAAGTGCCTAAATAAGTTGCGTATCTAAACAAACCCTTTATCATGGTCGTTAAACTCGTGTTTTAACCTGTAAACTCTTATGATTTTACAATCTTAGGATGGTAATTGTGTTAAATCACATGTAAGCTCATGGTTGCGTAAACTCAGGTAGAGTCGGATAAATTTGGGTAAACTCATGAGTTTACACCTGGTTTTATGAGTTTATCAAAACAAAGGGAAAATCACATTTTTTCACCAAAATAATTCTATTTGGAATTAGGGTACCACTTTTCTTCCCTCTCTGCAAGTTGTGAAACACCATATTTACAAGTGGGGCACCAAAATTACATTATCATTATATGATTTAGCTTTTTAAGCAGTAAACCCTTATGAGTTTACAAATTGAGTTTACAAGTCAGGTTTACGGACACTACACGAGTTCATGTAAACTTTTGAGTTTAACAACCTTGCCCTTAATAATTGAATATCAAGGGTGATAGAATGTGGAACTTTTTTATCTTGTTAAGGGCTATTGTAACATTTTAGAGAAGAAGCATTTCACTTGTGCTGATTTTTTATATCCTTTTTTCTCTTTTTTTCAGTGAAGCAATTATTGATCCTGCAGCAATCTTTGCCATGCTCTTTGGTAGTGAGCTTTTTGAGGAATATATAGGCCAGTTAGCCATGGCATCAATGGCTTCAATGGACATTTTTACTGAAGGGGAACAATTTGATACTAAAAAGTTGCAAGAGAAAATGAGGGTATATCTATAATCTTTCTAACAACTGCATTCTCTTATGACTATTTTAACATATTACCAACATATTTCTCATGCTTCTACCAAGATTTGTGTGTGTGAATACACGTACATACAACACATATATGTATGTATTATATTTCTGTTTGGGCCACACTTCACTAATAATTTAGGATTCTAATGTGACCATGCATCATATCACACCACTCATAGTATATCATTGCCTAATTTGCCACAACTAAATGAAATGTTCCCTCTAAAGTTAAGGCTTTTGCTTGGACAATGGTTCTTATGTTATGGGGATTAATACCGATCAGTTGCTAATGATATGCAAACTGATAGGTTCACAAAGGTGTAACATAGAAAGAAAGGGAAAAGAATAGGCAGGAAATTTGTTAGTGGCCATTAGGTGGTTCTCTGTAATAATCTTTGTGATAAATAGCATTGAGGAAGTAGTGAAACATATGTTTTTGTAATTGATCCTTGGGAAAGGTTAGGAGAGTGGAGTTCTCTCAAATAACACTGGAATACTAAGTGTAATAATATTGGTTGGGGAATTAGGGTTCCTCAATAAAAATTTCAAGAACTATTTTCTGTACTCTATACCAGTTTCTATCACAAACCTCGTAATGAAATTTATCCTAATTCTTCTCAGCTTAAGGCTTGTTTCAACATTAGTGCTTGGTAGGAATTGGGATCAACACTAACATAAAAAATTAAGAATGGGAAATACTAACTCAATACTTTTTGATTAAGAGTAGAGGGAGAGAGAGAGAGGAAGGGAAACTGAGAGTATTATTGAAAATATAAACTGAATATAGAGTTCTGAAAAAGATACAGAATGTACATGATGGTCAACTATGCAAGAAGCTACTTAATTCTCAGATGCAATTACAAAGAGCTAATAGATAAGGTCCAGGCCAAGAGGTTGGACCTAGCGGTGGTTGAAATGAATAGGTTGAATCCAGTGGTGCTTAAAAGAAAGAATTTACATGTAATTGATACTAAATCAATTCACCAGTTGAGAGCAAAGTATTAACTATGGCTTTGATTTACTTAGATATCTTATGATTTTTTTCCCTTGGTGAAAATGTTAACATAATCAAAGTAGCAAATTACCGTATGATGCTATTGTGGCCTATTTGTCTTTTCTTTTCAGCATTCTTTATTGTGTATAGAGATATATATAACATGTTGATGCTATTGCTAAAATCATTTTTTCAATCTCTACTGATGATTAAGTACAGAATATGGATAAATTCCTTCTTGCTGCTTCATGCAACTAAGATAATGACTTTTTGGAGTTTTTATTACAAACCTAAAAGCAAGAAAGCTATAAAAATAAGAAAAAAGAGAGAAAGAGAATAAACCTGCAAAGGTATATTGAATCTCAATATTAAAAAGGACTAAGGAGAGAAATCTCCTTCCTAGGGTTTTCACTTCAACAAACAGTTTTGGTGACTAGATTTGATGAGAAATAGCAGCAAGTATTACATTTATTATCTACTATTTGTATTGGAACATTTTTTATTCCCAGATGTTTGCATAGTCATCTTGAAGGAATTATTTGTTATATATTCATCCTGCTATTTTTTATTGCTGTTTTAACAGATTTATTCTTCCTTCAGGTTGTTCAGAAGGAAAGAGAAGAAAAGCTTGCAGAGATATTGAAAAGTAGACTCAACCAATATGTCCAAGGAAACAAAGAGGACTTTGTTAATCTTGCAGAAGCTGAAGTTGCCCGGCTATCCAATGCAGGTACTATACCCTAAGAATAATTTCAGACATGCAGGAAACATGCGGAGCAAAAACATTGTGTAGCTGCAAAATTACTATACGGCTCATTTTGATGCTTTTTTCATCAGAAATATCAAACTGTGGTTGCAAAAAGCAAACAAAATTAACAGTTCTTTTGTTTATGGAATCATGATGTGGTTCATAAATTGACTTAACATGATATGGAAAAAGCATAGCCTAATCTCAAGTATTTTAATATCTGTATTGAAGAATACCAACCTAACTCTCTTAGCAGGATTGTAACTGAGGTACATTTGCTGAATACATTAGTTGTCATTATACAGCTTATGGGGTTGATATGTTGAATACCATTGGCTACATATACGCAAGGCAGGCAGCAAAAGAGCTTGGGAAGAAAGCAATTTATTTGGGTGTGCCTTTTGTTGCTGAGTGGTTTAGAAACAAAGGGCACTCTATTAAATCTCAAGTTACAGCAGCAACAGGTGAGCAAATTTTGTACTCTAAAGCCCTTCATAGCTGTGATATGGTTTCTTCATGCTAATCATGTGATTAACTTCATATCATGTTTTCATTTGCTATTTTACTCCCTTTTGTTTTCCACATTGCATATTACTGAGGCTTGGGCGTATCAAATTGACCTTGCCCATAAAGGCTTTGCAAAACAGTGAGCCTACAATGTACAGTTTATTTAGTCCATTGGTGTATTTTGTTTTATCACAATGCATTTTTTGGTGTTGTTTTACTCTCAAATTGCTATGTGATTGAACTGTGTTATGGCCTCTGTTTTGTGTTCTACTAGTGGCTGTTTCAGTGGAATTGTCATTTCATTACTGCTTCAGTGCAATTTTCATTTCAGTATGTACTTGTTATTTATCCTTGTTCTCACTTCTCTGATCTACTTCACTTTTTATAATTCAAGGGTATGCTTATGTTTTTAAGTCATGATTGACTTTTAGTTTCTGGTTTTGAATCATGGGTATTTCATTTTATCGAACATATCCATACCCAGTATGTCTCAATTACTGGTACACATTATATATACTTGGGCACTTATCAATTTTAAGTTTTTGAAATTGTACACAACATGAATACGATTCTAATGAGACTAGGTGCAACTTAGGGTATAACTAGATATGCCTTATGCACCAGCTAGATCATTTCCCCCAAAAAAAGACAGTTTTTCGATTAAATTTAGGGATTTTTTGGCCTTTTTGTCAATTTTCTCATATTTATTTCTCTATTTAATCAAATACATTCATCCTTGTGAGATATGAGATGCAAGTTTGTCATTTTCTTTTATTATAGATGTATTCACAAGAAAATATTTTTCATTTATATTATTTAAATATTATTAGTGTATACCTTTAATTTTAAAAATTGTCATTTTGTGTACCCGTATTCGTACTAGATATTGGTACCATACCTGTATTCAGCACATATATTTCTGGTGTTCCAGTGGAGCAGAGATTCATGCTTTGGAGAGGTTGGCTTGTGAGGAAGGCTTGTTTGACAAACAACAATGTAGAGGAGGGTCTACCCTCAAGGGGGATGGTTGGCCAGGGAGAGATAGAGGAAAAGTGTTATTAAGGATTTAAGGGTTCAAAATTATTGGATCACGAGCAATTTGGTTGGAATGGGAAGGCCTTTTACAAGTGAAATGAAGAGGATGGTTGACATCTTAATAACGAGATGGCTCCTAACACAATTGGGTTTAGTAATTACTACCTTTTCTTCAAAATTATTGGGATTTTCTTGGGGATGATATGCTGAGGGTTTTTAATGAGCTTTATCACAATAGGTTGATTGGTATTTGTATGATTTCATTATCTATTAAAAGGGCCCAATGCACAAGCCTCCCACATAGTGGGATATGTGGAGGGTCATATGCAGCCTAGCCCCTGCAATCCGAGAGGAGGGCATTTACATGATTTGAATCGGACTTCCAGATTACAAGGAAAAACTTTACATAGCCCTAAATTCAATCCTATCTTTTATAAAATGAAAAAAAAGTTCAACCTATTCACCTTCATTCATAGAAGAAAGGTTATTCTATTAAGTCAAAAGAATTTTAGATATTACAGCTTGTTCATGTGTATAAATTCTGATTGAAACCAGGATAAAGGGCCCAGGCCTAACCGCCTAAGTAGATAAAATGTGTAAGTTGCTTATAATTGGAGGAGTATGTGTAGCATGTGAGAAGATATATAAGGAGATAGTGGGATACATGAGAGGCAGCATTGCATTAGTTTGTTGTAAAGCTGTTCAGCTAAGCAAGGAATGGACAAAGCATTACTCTGAAGGAGCCATGAGCTCTGGCCTGGTTAGGGTTTATCTCTTATAGAATATTTGTTATGTAATTCACATTTTAATCAATGCAATTTCTTCTATTTATTATAAATCATTTGAGGGTCCTATCATTTCATCCGACTTGCTGGATACAAACAATGGGTACCAGCACATTACATTCATTTAGTTCTCTATGAAGATTCATGAGGGAATGAATGCCATTTTAGATTCCTTGAAGGAACTTTGACAGGACTTAGTGAATATTGAACAAAGAAAGATAGGTAGCGATTATGCAGAAAAAGAGGCTATGGAAAGAGTTAAAGCAGAAAAATTGTTGCAACCACGGGGCATTCCTCCAAACAACAAAGGATTGGATGGAGGATTTTTTCCTGACAGCAGTTTCAGGCTCGAGGGAAGAAGGGAAGGTGCCAAATGATGAAAACGACATTTGTTTTGGGACATTTGAATGTGGGTAACAAAAGATGACATTTGTTTTGGGACATTTGAACATGGGTAACAAAAGACGAGTAGAGTCCAGTATGTCGCAGGGCAAGGCCATGGTTTGCCCAGATAACTCAACATTTATCATTGAGGCATGTAGGTGGTGGAGATGGCGGATCTTCAACCCTCATAAATTTCAATAGATGGAGGTGAGATCATTCGATTATCCATCTAAACATAGAAAAGGGACAAAGAGGTGCTGGGGGTTTGTTTATTGGAAGGGTATTGAGAATCTTATGAGCCCAAAGGTAATGGGAGCCCAAGTATTACTTTTAATAGATTGGGTTGGATTAAAGCTTTTAAGTTGATAAAGGCCCAAGTACCTATTTGCTTTTATGTTATGTTTAACTCGCAATTAGTCTCTTGTAATAAGAACTGAGGGTATTAAGCTATTCTTCCACAACAACTGCTCAATATCGAAGGTAATCTTCAGCAACATTGTACCTTTCCTACGTCTAGTCCCATTGTCAGATTTGGTTGGGAAGCTGCCAGGAGGAGGGTATTGAGGAGCGGGTGTAATAGTAGAGATGATAGTGCCTTGGTGGCCGTTTACGTGTTGGATTTTTGGGTTTATTCTGTGTACTTACAAGTTGTAAGAGATTCACAACAAATGAGTAGAGGGGGTGTGTGTTTCAAGTACGGAACAAAAGAACAAGCCACCCAAGAGGCAATCAATGATAAATATATAATGAAGGGATCAGATGTTACACCAATTATCAAATGGGGTTACTGAAAAGAAAAGGCAAGCTCTGAGGGTACACAATGCACTATCTCAAGCTTCTAGTGCCAATTGTAATATACTGATCCTTGACAACCTGCAAGGCCTTGTGTGTATGCCAGTGTTGTTAAATGGCGGCCATGGCGGCGCCATGGCGGAATTCGGTGGGGGTTTTTGACCCCGCCGTTACAGCGTTACCGTTTTCTGGCCTTTTTCAATGGCGGCGCCATGGCGGCCGTTACGCGCATGGCAGTAATGGCAGCCATGGCGGAAAATGTAAAAAAATGGCGTTTTTGTGGGAAAAATTGAGTTGGGCCATTGATTGGACCTGCTCCGAAAAGATAATCCGCGAGCCCAAACCCTAAATCACATATTTTCTTCCTTTCTTCATTGCTGTTGTGCCGCAATGGAGCGTCGGTTGGCTGTTGTGCCGCTGTGGAGTGGCGGTCCGCCACCTGCTGCTGCTGTGAAGTATTTCTTCGCAGGGGTTAAGCCCTAGTTGTAGTGTCTTGGTGTGCGTGTTGAAGTGTAATAGAGAAAGAGAGCGAAATTCCAATCTTGCCCTTGTTTTATGTATTTTAGGGTTTTTTAAGGGCAAAATAGACTCTTTCCACTTAAAATTTTTAGGGTTTACCTTCTCTTCTCAAGCGGTCAATTTTCTGAAGGGTAAAATATTTAGGGTTCTCTACACTGTTTTTCTTCCTTCTTCTCTAAAGCCATTTTCTCCTTCACCATTTTCGCCGGAGAAGACATCCTTTCCGGCTGTTTTCCGGCAACTGTGAATGGAAGGCCCTATTTTCCGAAGTCCATTTTCTATTTTGTGTCTCTGGACTCTGCCCCTCTTTCTTAGTTTTTTCCTCTCCTGTTTTTTTTTTTTTCAGTTCTGTTTTTCCCTCTCCCACTCTGTTTTACTCTCCCATTTTTTTTGTTTTTCCTTATTATTTTGTTTTCTTGATTCTATTTTTCTGTTTTCACTTCCAAGTTTCCTTCTCCATATTTATTTTAATTCTCTACTTTTCTGTTATAACTTCAGCTTATTATTCCCTCTTTCTTAGTTTTTCCCTCTCCTATTTTTTTTTTTTTTTCAGTTCTGTTTTTCCTTCTCCCATTCTGTTTTACTCTCCCATTTTTTTCGTTTTTCCTTATTATTTTGTTTTCTTGATTCTATTTTTCTGTTTTCACTTCCAAGTTTCCTTCTCCATATTTATTTTAATTCTCTACTTTCCTTTTATAACTTCAGTTTTTTTTTCACTATTGTACAACCATTTATTCTTTTTTTCTCAAAACCTTCTTTTTATATGTAGTTAGTTTTCTAATTTTTTATCACATTTTGCAATATATATGACCGCCATTATTCCGCCATAACCCGCCATGGCATCCGCCATAATTTTATGGCAGTTTTTTTGTTTTCCGCCATGACCCGCCATCTGCCATTGATAACATTGGTGTATGCATACAAGTTGTGTCTCCATTGCATTATGTAGTTATGAATCTCTGAGTAAATTCAAGCATCATAAGCCGGGGTTACTGACTTATGTGGTGTTAATCAAAAGAAAAGTTCAAAATTTGTTAAGAAGGCCTCTGATTATAAACAATTTGGAAAAAGTAGTGACCTTGCTGTACCAATTTTTCAGCCAAGAGGACATAAAAGGGACAAAAATGACTGGATTTGATGAGAAGAAGTTGCCAAGTATGTCACATGTAATCCTTGAGAAAAGGGTCAGTCAGCCTAGAGTTTCTGTTGCCTCTACACTTGCGGAGAATGGTGATGTTCCTCAGTCTGCTATACCAGAAACTCTACTGAAGAAGATAGGACGGGTCTACAAATCCTTGGGAATTATTCTATGTAGGCATTTCTCCATCTCGTATGATTATAGTGGAAGGTTAAAATGGTTTGAAAGGCTTGCATCTATTAACTGTGGTGCTGTCAAGATGGTAGGCCTTTATTTCATCCTTGAGGAGAAGGCTGCAGTTCTAGAGAGCGGTAATGATAGCAACCAGGATAAAGGGCCCAGGCCCAAGTAAATAAAATGTGTAAGTTGGTTATAATTGGAGAAGTGTGTGTAGCATGAGGGGATATATATGGAGATGGTGGAGATACATGAGAAGCAGCATTGCATTAGTTTGTTGTAAAGCTGTTTAGCTAAGCAAGGAATGCACAAAGCATTACTCTGAAGGAGCCATGAGCTCTAGGCTGGTTAGGGTTATCTCTACTAGAATATTTGTTCTATAATTAACATTTTAATCAATGCAATTTCTTATATTTCTTATAATACATTTGAGGGTCTTATCAAATTCATCACTAAGATATTCTTTTGAAATTAATTTCCTTCATCAGTATTCCTTTTGGAGCTTCTATCAAAAATAAATCTATTGGAGTAGGACTAAAGGATTGCGAAGATTGTGAGGAACCTGTTATGGTCAAAAATTGGGGATGGCAGGAAATATTATTTGGCTTATTACAAGCCCAAGAACTTGGAAGTATTAAGCTTGGAAAATAATGTCTCTAAAATATTGATCTGCATTCACCCCGATATATTTCTCTTCCTTGCTTTCTTTGCAAGTGGGAAAAGGTTTCTTTATTTGTTTGTGGGATGATATCTGGTTTGAGAAAGGTAACTCTGGATCCTTTTATCTGACTTTGTCATTTCTGTACCTTGCATCGGGTCCTTGTTTTTCAACTTTTTTTCCCTTTTAATCAAGATTCCATGTTTGTCAGTAGTTAGTGACAATCAGTGAAGGTTATCACATGTACTACTGGAATGAAAGAGAGGAAAAGAGGGCATTTTGTTATTTGTGATAGAATTGGGGCCTACACTTTTGGGAGGTGTAGACCTTAAATATTCTGCTGGGTTATGATTATCAGGGGGTGATTTTTCCTATGCTTTGTAATAAGATACCAGATTTCTATCACCATCCCTCTTGCAATGTTCACTTATGGAACATCAATGATCAGATAACCTCTGATTTTGTATCTTCGTTCGGAATTCTCAACCTCTTTGATAACTCTTGCTTTTCAGCCTCTTGAAATTCTCAACCTTGAATTTTTTCTTTATGCTGGTTACAGGGGCAATTGCTTTGATCCAACTGCAGGAGGATATGAAAAAGCAACTCAGTTCAGAAGGGAACTATACCGAAGAAGAACTTGAAGAATACATGCAATCTCACAAGAAATTAATGATCGACTCTTTGTGGAAGCTTAATGTGGCCGACATTGAAGCCACTCTTTCCCGTGTTTGTCAAATGGTGTTTTTCGCTACTCTAATGTCACTTAATTATAGAGCATAAAGTAGATTTGAGGTTAATTTAGATCGTCTGTGCTTAACTTTAGGTTCTTCAAGACAACTGTGCCAAGAAAGAAGAACTCCGTGCACGAGCTAAAGGGTTGAAAACTCTTGGTAAAATCTTCCAGGTGGTATTTCTTTCCCTACACTTCCCAGAATTGTTAGCAACATGTGTACTAATTATGAAATGATTTTTAATTCACGATTCAAATTTAGAGGGTTAAGTCAGCCAATGGGAACGAGAATGGAAGTGTACCAAATAAGGCATTACACAAATTGAATGGAAGTGAAACTAGTAATGATGCTTGTTCTCCTAGTACATCACCCAAATCTTCAAGTCCTGATAGTTCAACTCATGCTATATTTGTATCCCAGGTACAGTGTTTCCCATTGATATCTTTTTTCTTTCTTTCTTTCTTTCTTTCTTTTGGCCATATTGATGTCTTTCATTTTTATACAATTTAGGCTAATAATATTATTTTTTCTTTCTACTTCATTTACCTTAATGTAAGCTTTTATAGTGACATCTTATATTTGTTTACCAAAAAATGGATGTAGAGCCCCTACGTGGAGGCCCCGCAATTTGCTGGCATGCAATTTGACCACAATTTTCCCCGGCCAACCGCCCCCCCAGGTGCCCAGAGGCCTGCTCATTGATATCCCAGTGTTCTTTTTTTCTTTTTTGGAGCAGTGAGGGGAGTGTTACTTTATTATGGTAACTTGTCTGCTGTGCCCGTGCAATAGATTATGTGCAGTGTGGTTATGAAAATCCCATAATTCTATACATAGATGGGGAAAGATAATTTAAGGTAGCGTTATGCTGGTCGTGCTTGGCTTCCATGTATTTTTGTATTTTGAATGTGTATTTTGTTGGGGTACTAGCACAAAGGTTACTCTCTTCTTTTTCTCATGCCCCCTCCAAAGAGTTAGTGCCATGTCCATTCTAGTGGGATTCATGTATAATTGAAACTCATTTTAACGCACAACATCATATATATATATATATATATTTGCGTTCAAATTTTATTTCGTGTTTTGCTCACTTAATACTCCGATGCGCTTTCTAGTTCTGGAAAATAGTGAATCGAAACTACTAAGACTGTTAATGAGAGGCTCACTATTGCTCACTCAGCTTCAGGCACATGATCAACAGTACGGAGAATTAAACCAATGGCAATGAATTGCGCTATTTACAGGGTCAAGATGACAGCCACCTTATGTATCTACAGAAGCGAGAATACATGGCGAACCAGTTATATGAGGATAATGCACAATACATTTGACTGGTTTTCACGTTGCAGTTCTGGATAGCATAATAGCTTGCATACTTGTCAATTAGCTTAAATATGGTTTACGTTCTTATATTTTTTTTTAACATTTAGTTTTAGTTCTTCCATTTTTTATTTTTTATTTTTTTATCCTCATTTTTCTATTTTATATTTTTTGTTCCTCCCATTATTGAAATTTTAAAACGTATGAAAAAAATCACTTGACATAATGAGAAAGAAAATAAACTTCTAAAGGTGCTTCAATAAAAAATAAAAAAAACTTTTATAAACACTTTCGTTTAAGAATTTGTATCCACAAATTACATTGATTAATACAAGCTCTTGAATAAAGATTAAAAGCATTTTGTATAATTTTTTAAAATGTGATTATAAATTAAAAAGTAAATATTTTTATCAACGATAAAAAATATTCAATTGTAAGAAATATGGCAACATTCAAGTGGTAATATTTTTAAAATTTTAAAACAAAAATTGATATGAAGATTGAATCGAAAAGTTATTCTTTTATTTTTATTAATATCATGCATCAAAATTCAAGATTTAAAAATTAAATTCAAATTAAAATTGATCAAGATTATAATAATTTTAAATATTTAAGAAAAGAATATTATATCTTCAAGTTAATATAATATATCAATGTTTAAACTTAAAATTAAAATAACTCATTCTTTCTCTAAACCACATGCATTTTGTTGATTTATTCTGTATTAACTTTTGTTAGCATTGATTTGTCTTGTTTTGATTTTCTTCCTCACCATGATATTTTTTGGATATATTAATTATTGGGATTATCTTAAAACCATTTTTTTTCAAGTAGCAAAATAATACAAAACAAGCAAGAAAACAGTAATTTAGAAACACCGGAGCTTTCATCGTATCTTGAACCATGTTTGGCTATCCAGTCAACACAGACATTTGCTTCCTACGAGTATTTTCAATATTGACATTCTAGACCTTAAGTTAAGTTGTTTAGAGCTGGGCTAAAATATCAAAATTGACCAAAACTGTTGGATTGGAGGTTCGTTTGGTAAATTGAATAGATAAAAAATGGGTCAGATATTTATGACAAAAATGAATAATTTTGTTTGAGTTTAGGTGGTTGGACTCAAATTTTAACAAGGTAAAATCTAAGGTAATATTTGTAATTGAGAGGGTTTGGTACACTCCCTTATATATGTGGAATAATTTTGAGTGTTAATTTAGTTAAAAAAATATGTTAATATCCTCTTATTTTTAAAATACTAGAGGAATCACAACTGTTAATCTAAAGAGGATATAAAATATCTTCTCAAGTTTACGGGTATTATAGCAAGCACCTTTTAATAATAAAAGCCATAATAACTTGAACATGACCAAATAGGACATATAAAAAAAATTAAAATTGAACCTTTAAACTCTAATCCTAATTTTACTAACTTGTTTTAGGCTTTTTGTGAAGTGTCACTTCTCTCTCACTGAATATGCCTCTCTTTTTGTCTCATAAGATACTACCTTTCACTAACTCTGCTTTGAACATTTATATTATATCACTTCTACACGAATACACACAACGACCCTCATCCTTTTCCAACTCTCCCCCATCTCCCTTGGCTTTTATCTTATTTTTCTTCATCTCTGTTTTTTGTTTTGTTTTCTCTCAATTTTCGGTTATCAACACTAATCTTTCTTCTTCTCTTCTCATGTGTTGATCTCGACACTATTCTTTATTATTGAGTTCTCCTTCCTATAGAAAAATCCTAAACCTACCTTTGTGGTTTGCTTGCTCTTCTGTTGACCTTTCTATTAAAAGCTTTGTTAGTCTTTCCATTAGGAGACCCAATGTTTTGTGTTGATGAGGCAAAGAACTGGTAAGTTACACTACTCTTTTAGAATTTTATTTTCAATTTATTTATGTTGATCTTTCTAATTTTAAGTTTAGGATTTACTCTTCTTTTATCTAGAACTATTTTTTTTTTCATGTTTTAGTTGTGCTGATCCATTGATGACAGAGATTAAGGTCTAAGATGGTGTGAACAGAGAAAGATAAGGAGTTTCTTCGGTCTCTTGTTTTATGCTTGAAACTCTCAATTATGTTATGCTTTACATTTTAGTATATTAATATATTTATCATTCAATAATAATATTATTGTAATATAGTTTTTCTTTTCTTTTTTAATTGAAGTAATTGAACATATCTCAGTGGATTGTGGAGGAGGAGATTGAGGTTAAAGGTGAAAGGGGAAAACTACAAGCACAAATCGAGAAGGAGGAGATAGGTTGAGAGTTGGGTTGTGTAGTTGTTGTTTTTTTTTTTTTTTTTGTTGGTATTATGACTTCTTGAATCTAGGATTTTTAATTCTTTATGAATTATGACTTAACTTACAACTTGTATTATTTTATTCCTTTTATTGTATGATGTTAAACTGAGAATATGATATTCTTGTGGTTAATTTTTTTATTCAATGATGCCTAATTAGAGCTAAATATATCTATAATTATAATTTCTTATTATTCTTCTCTCATATTGTTTAATGTTAATTCAATAATGTTGGACAAATTTCTTGTGTTTTGTGTTAATGATTCAATGATGTTGAAAAATATTGTTATTACTTAAGTAAGATTTTTCTCCTTTAATCTTCTTTATTTTTTTTAATTCAATAATGGTGGCTAAGATTTCTTGTGTTCTTTTGGTCTTGATGGTTGTGATTTCTTATGATTTCCTAAATCAGATGCTACTCCTTTAATTTTGTTTTTTGTTTTAGTAAAATCAATTATAGTGGACTGAGATATTTGTGTTCTATTTGTATAATTAATGATGCTGGAATGGTTATGAAAGGTTTTTATTCCCTATTTTAGTGATGGTGAACTAACATTTAGTGTTGTTTATCTAGTTCTACGATGTTTGATGGTTGAGAAATGTTTTAATTTCCTATTTCAAATGTTACTCTTCTAATGTTGTTTTTTTTTTTTTTAACTTAATGATGTTGGTATTAGATTTTTCATGTTCTATTAATCTTGTTCAATAATGCTTGGAATTGAGACATGTTATAATTTCCTATTTTAGATGTTACTCTAACAATTTGCTCTATTTTTTTTTAAGTAATGATGCTAGTTTGAGATTTCTAATGTTCTATTAATATGGTTTAATGATGCTTGATGGCTTAAACATGTTTGATTTTTCTGTTTCAAATACTCCTCTTTTAATGTCCTATATTTTTTTTTATCTTATCTAAATGTGTTGGGAGAAAATAGGAGAGAAGGAGAATAAAGAGAGTGATTTTTCTATTTCAAATACTCCTCTTTTAATGTCCTATGTTTTTTTTTTCATCTCAATGTGTTGGGAGAAAATAGTAAAAGGAAAATAAAGAGAGAGAACATCAACACATAATGTGTGTACTTACATTCACGGCTACACTAGAAAAATATTTTATTCATTAGATAATTTTAAAAGCATTACAAGATGTTACTTATATAATAACAATAAAGTAAAAGTCCCTTAAGAATAAGCGATGTAAGACTAAAGAAGAATAAGTGACATAAGCCTTAACCAGACTATACAATCTTAACAATTCTTTCACTTGAGTTTGAATTACAAATGTTCCTTGTAAACAATGAGCTCATTTTCTTTTCACCTAGTGCAACGCCTTTATCATCAATTATCCTTGAAAGTCAATAAGGTAATGCAAAGCCTCGACTCATCAATTATGACAATCTTGGTCAACATATCAGCTGAGTTTTTTGATTTGAGATCTTCAACAAAGACAAGTCTTCATCACTTATTAGGTCTCTGATAAAATGATACTCCCTTATTTCCTTCTTATAAAAAATAAAAGATTAAATCATTAGGACTAAGAAAAATAATTAAATTAGTTAATTTTCATAAATATAAATTTTATTTCAAAAATGCTCATGATATTAAACAATGTAGTTTGTGTAGTCGTTGCCTCCTAAACATACATTTAACAATAAAGGGTATAAAGGAATTTAGCAATTAATACATCTCAAATTTATCTTATATTTCTTATAATTAGGACCAAGAAAATACTCCATTTTGTTCCTTATAAAAAGGACCGAAAGGAGTACTTCATATTAATATGCTTGCATCTGAAATAAAAAATTGAATTCATAGCAAGATATATAGCACTTTGACTGTCACTAAATAATGGAGAATCATCTTCTTCTTTTATTCCTAATTCTTTGAGAAAATTCTTTAGTCATAGCATCCTTGGCTGCTTTTGAGATAGTGACATACTCTACTTTAGTGGTTTAGAAAGTAACTCTACCTTTACCATATAAGGTAAAAATGTAACATGGTGCTTTTTCTACCATCTAAATCCCCTCCCAAATTTGCATTAAAGAATCCATATAAAGTGAGATTGCTTTTGCTAAAGCATAAACACATTCCTGAAGTATCCTTCAAATATCTTAGTATCTATTTTACACCCTCACAATGCTCCTTTCTGAGATTTGATAGGAACCTATTGGCAACTCCTTCTGCATGTGCTATGACAAGTTAGATACACACCATAACATACATCAAACTCTCTATTGATGATGCATATAGTACTCTCGACATGTAACTTTCTTCTTCATCTATCTGTGAATATTACTTCTTTAAAAAATTTAAGTGAGACATCTCCAACATTAAACCTATCAAACAATTTTTCTATATGTTTTTCTTGAGACAACTTCAAAACACCTTCTCATATGTTTCTAAAGATTCTCATACTAAAAATTTGTTTAGCTAGAC